GCCAGCGGCATCAGATGAAAATGTGGTTCAACCTCAGATGAAAAACACCTCAAACTATTCATAGGAGAAAAAGCTCATGCAACAAAGGTGTTCAGCTCTGAGTTCTTAGCTATATCTTCTTTGGCTTAACAGCACTGGCCTAGACACATCTTCATCCTGATGGGCAACAAAATACTCAGCATGTGTTTGTGGATGTTTGTTCAAATTTTGTTTTTCCTTTGTATTTCTGTCTCTCTCTCAGTCTTTCACCTTTACTCTGGGCCCTCCCGTCTGATTCCCATCTTCCTCCTGAGGGTGTTTTCTTAAAGGGATTGGGATGAAGTACTCAAACTTCAGGTATCTCTACAAAGTTGATGTTACCATGGCAACATTTATTCCAGCTTTTTAATGAGACCACTGAAATATAAAGGCTGTCTAGTGATATTTACTGGAATGTTGCCAAGGCAACCTCTGCGTTTCTCAGAATGACTGGATTTATGAGCCTTCAACCATTCAATGCATCTAAGCTGAGTTTTGGTTAATCAGCTAAAGATTGGGGGCAGATAGGTGGTTTATCAATGGAAAGGAGTGCCTGCTGCAGTTACAGAGTGAGCATACAAGCCCTTGAAAGCCTCACCAATTCCTTTGGATATTTTTAATAAAATCCCACGCAAAGACCAATGCCTCTGCTAACTAAATTTTCCAGGTCTCACTGTCAATGTCTCCAAGTCACTTGACCATTTCCATCTTTGTCTTCAGGTCTCCAGGCACAAAAACAGTGGGGAAAAAAGAACTTTAAAAATTAACCATAGTACCAAAGTAGTCACACATGACCTCTGAGAGTCACCTGTTCAGTCTGGGATTTTTCTGATCACTGTCTTGCAGTAAATCGATGGCTGATTCGACTCCCAGTGTTGTGGCTCTGTGAGAGGGCAAGGAGATTAATGACTCCTACCAGCCACCTGCTAACAAGTGCCTTGCTACAGAGATAACACGTTGCCATATGATGTGGCTACTGAACCAGGAAAAGCTTTGCCTTTTTCTGTCCATGTGATATGATTCAGGTAATTATGTTGCTGAGGGCAGCTACATTTCATTTAGACGTTGACCTGACAAGGGAGGATCTGCTGACAGGCAGTGGTGCACAACACAGGCAGATGTACATACAATGTTTGGATTGAGAGCAGGGAAAAGAAAACCAAACTAAAATATTCACATGCTGCAGCATGTGCACTAGAACAAACCAAACTAATTCTGTCACTCTCCATGGGTCAAAGGTGGCTGTAGGAATAAGCAGATATCGAGGGCAGAGGATTAACTGGAGTCAGGCTGGAGATATAAAGGGGAGAAAGTGACCCAGATAACGACAGGAAGGATTTAGAGAACAACTGTTGCACTAGCTAGTGACCACAGCTTTTCCAGCATTTTTGAATACCAGGAGCAAAGTGATTTTTCTGAGCTGAATATTTTCAAACCAGAAGAACTGCCAGGGGAATGATGGAGAAGCACCTCTGGGGTCTAGTCATCTCCAGCCTCATCCGGGATCTTTGCAGGGCTGCTTTGGGTGCCTTGCTGCAGGGAGAGATGGGAGCTGAGAGCCTGCCCAATGCAGAGGGAAAGTCATTGCCAAGGCTGCCAGTGCCAAGTGAGACAGAAATCTTGCACAGGAAAAGCAGTATGATGGATTATGCAAGTTTCCTCCTGGGAGGGAAAGCATCCTCTCAACTAATCTTCAACCGCTCTGCACAAACTAATGACACATAGTGAAGGAACCATCTCCAGCACTCCCTAAGCTCCATAATTAGCTTTTACTTAGGCAAATCTAGGTGACCAGTGATCTCTTGAGACAGAGTAAACTACACACACTCTCATGGTTGGTTGTAAGTATCTTTGTTACAGAAAAATAGGTCCCTCCTGTGTCAATGTATACAGAGGTCATGATAAAGACGGCAGGAGCTGTAATTCTTCTGCAGCTCTAGAAAGGCAAGGCAACCAGCCCACTCCAAAGGCCAAATGATTTCTTTAGAGCATGCAAAGCTACGTGGCTCAGTAAACCACCGCATCTGCACAGATGGAAAGTTCCGTAAATAGCTCTTAAATGCCTCTTGCTCTAACAGGGAATGGATTCAGACTCAAGATTCCCACAGTCCTCATTTCCTGGGCAGCCCCAGCAGGCACTTTTTCCTTGGCCAGGTGCCTCAGGGTCCTTCTCTAAAAGGGGCTTAGCAAGAGAGCTACACATGGACGAATACCTGCCCAGTGTAAAACAAGCTTTGCTGCTTCTGCAAATGAGGCACTTCTGGCAAACTCCCATCCTTGTTTGGAAAATATTCTGTTCTGTCCTGCAACAAGGACCCATCGGACTGCGTCTGTTGATCGGTGCTGAATGTTGAAACAACATTTTCTGTCTTTTGCTGTTCATAAAGCCAAACACCATTTGAAAGCTCAGCAGCCTGAAGGCAAGGACAAGAACAGACTCTGAATGGCCATGAAAACATCCTGAAATGACTTCTTTTTTCACTCAAGCTGAGACATAAGCAGTCCAAAGCTCTGGTTAGACTTTGTGCTTTTGCAGACTGGTGCTACCAAAAACACAAGACAAGGAAGACCATGCTTAATCTGTAGATAAAGTTGTGAGAACTCTAAAAGACAAGTTTTCCTTTGACTAAAAAGCAAATCTAAGAAGGAGGACAAACATGGTAAGCGGACTAGCCCTGTGAAAAGGAGGCAAATCATGCCCAAGAGAGTAAATGTAATGCTAAATAAAATACATGGCTGATGAATTGTTTGTAGTCAAATCTGATTAGCCAGGTCATTAATATCTGACACACAGTGGTGCAACAGAGAAACAGGTAAGGGCAACAGACCATTTTGTGAAATACCGAAGTCAGCCTGAGATGTCATCCTTTGCAAGCTGTTGAGTATAAACTTACTATGCTAGGCAAAAAGGATTTCCTTGTAAATCCAGAGCCGAATATGAAAGGCTCCTGGGGGAAGGCAGCTCCACATGCTGGAAACCCATAACCTCCCAGATCTACACTGGACTTCAGTGCATCTCCCTGTGACTTACTCAGGTAGCCAGCAAAATGAGGAAGATTCCCCTCCTCCCCTTCCCTATAGGGTTCAATGTAGATGGGGACAACCCTTAATTTTGCACAGGAAAAGCATGGGCTGACTGTTGCTGACCCTCAATTTAGTCATGGTGTTCAGGCTTCTTTAGCAGTACACAGAAAGTCTTTGCAAGAAGAACATGTGCAGCTTATAAGCATAAAGAATTTATGGATTGGATAGCAACACAAAATATTGCTAGGATTTGATGTGCAATTCAGACAAGCATCATGCTTACCATCCCTAAAAGAGATGTTAGGAGTCACCAGTGGCTAGGAATGCGTCAGTCAGATGGGCTGATGGCTGGCCTCTGAGGATCCTTGGGACACACAACCTGTGTTACTTTCATTTCCCACACCAGCGGACACAGTTAGCTCTGATGACCCTGTCAATTACCAGCTCTGGGTTTTTTTTTTTTTTCACTTTAGGATTTTATGTTTTTCAAAGTTAGTGTTTATTCCTTTGAATGCTTCAGGATCTAAAAAATGTGTCTTAACAAGTTTAGTCCTGTATGTGATTTTTCTTTTCTTATTTTTCTGTGGACTGACTTACAATTGCTTCAGCCATAGCAACCCAGGGAACAAAAGGAGCAGCAGATGGACAGGGCCTCTGGAGGGAGGTTGTGGTTTGCACAGAGAGGCACACATTTTCTGTCACAATTTCGGGAGCAGCAAAGAGGAGAAAGGGAAATACATGAACAGTATAATGATGTAAAATCGCATCTGAATTTTGAGTGCCATATCACAGCAGCAGAAGCAGTTTAGGCAGGTTGCAAGGGGACTCAAGAGGAGGTAGTGTGATAGACAGTTTTGCATGGATCACTATGGCAAAGACCTCTTTCATGCTTGAAATGTACTTTTCGTGGGGACAGGAGCCTGAGTGCAGCACGTAACTGGGGCCACAGTGCCAAAACAACAGGAATCATCCAGATCAATGTCTCCCTTTCTAGGTTGTGGTGTTTCTGCAGCTTCAACAACCCAAACAAGTGAAGAGAGTAGATCATGACACAGACAGGGTTCATGCTAAGGAATTCAGCAGTACCAGTGGCCCAGTGTCCTATGTGCTGGGAAATCAATAATAAGGAGGCTTCTCTGAGCAGTTTTCCTTCATGCATTAGTTTGGGAGTCTGCAATTCCTGCATGGGACACTGTGGCAGCAGCACTGCAGGGTCCTGCACCTGAAGGCTAGCTGCAGCAAGCTGGGCACCTTGTGTGTCTCAAAGCATTTGGGCTCCAACTCAGTGGTGAGGGCATCTTTGCTTCTGTTGTGAGTCACAGCTGCTTCCCCACGGCCTCTGCATTTACAGACTGCTGCTCTGTGCAGATGCCATGAAAGCTCCATCTCAGGCAGCACTTGTGTCCTTTTTGCCGTGTGCTAGCTTCTTCCCAAGGCCAGCCCTTCCTTTCCTTTCAGCCTGAGCTAAGCTACGCAGTGCTGACACTCCAAAAGAACAGCACTTCCAGCACTATTTCACCGTCGTTTTGCAGTGACAGCAAATACAATATAAAATCTCTCCGACTACTTACTTTCGTGCTGTGTGGTACTGGAAATCATCTTGTTTTGACGAAGTAGCTAAAAGGCAAAAGTGATGCTTTTGGTGAGGAGTTTGCTTGTCCCCAGCAAAATAAGAAAAATAATCTATTATTTTCTCTTCTGTTGGTGATTAGTTCTGATAAACACAGGAGGTCTGTAGGTTTAAAGGATAGCAAAGAATCACTATTGTCTGGACCAAATAATGCATTTCAGTGGTTTTCAACTGAGCTCACAATCTACTCCATAAAGTTTGGTTTATGTACCCCGAGAGTCTGGGTTTTCTAAAAGAATTAGAAACTCTTCCACCTGTAATCAAACTGTACTTTGAGTATCATCCTTTTTTCTCTTCTTTTCTCTTTCCTTCCTGCTTTTGTTCAAAGGATGAGAAGAATCAGGTGTTGATCACAAATGCTTGGCTGCAGATGGTGAGTAGCCTGTGTGATTTCTTAGTTGAAAAGCAAGATTGCTATCTATTAACTTGTCTATAATGTGATAAAAGTAGGCATTTTAAGTCCTTTAAAATTTCCCTAGTGCTCCTTTCAGCTTTGAAAATTAAATTCAGGAGTCGATATAACCCTTTGGGGACACCTGTTGACCCTTGGAGAATGAAACCAACTGCATTGTTAGGCCAGTGGATGTAGGGATCTAGTGACAAAGAGCCCAGTGTTACAGTCCCATTATGACTAAGAAGAGTTTCTTCAAGGGTCTGAAGGCCCCCTTCATAACCAGTGATGGGGACTCGGGAAGCAGCCAGACACCTGTATGACGCAGGCTCCCTGTACTTGCTACTTCTGGGAAAATACCCAACCCTATCTGAAAGAGAGAGCCAAGTCACAAAATTCCCATCACTTTCCTCTGATCACAAAAGTGACCCAGCCACACTGGACTACATGCAGAGGGCTCCGACTGGGTGGTGGGATGGCCGGGGACCACAGACAGCTCCCTGCTCCACTGCTGGCAGCGCCCTGGCACATCACTGGGAACATTGCCTTCCCTTGTGCTTTACAAACCTCATCCATAAACATTCCTTCTCCCCATTCTGCAACCTGCTCCAGCTGAGGATTGACCTCCACAGGTCATGCAGGATAAGCAAAATTGATCTTCACTCAGGGCTTTGGGGAAGGGAGTTTCCCATCTGGTCTGCTGCCGGCTGCCTATGGTGAGGGATACAGTGTTTTTATGGTGCATAAACAGATCTCCTTAACAGCTTGTGCTCAGTAAAGTTGGAGTTCTTGAGTAAAAAACCAGTGGGAGACATGAATGATTGAACTAATTCGTTTTTGATTTCCGCAGCCAAACGCTATCTCATATTAATGTGTTCAACGGAACAGGCTGTTTCTTCCTCGGTTACCTGCTGGGATTTGCAGCAGGAATGAGTGGTTTTCCATCGAAAAAACGAACCCAGACAAACCTATCTGAGTACAGGATTGTTAGGACAGACCCCTGGGTGTCCTGTCCCTTGCAACAGTATGTCTATATCTATTTAGATATATGGATATATAGTTATAAAGATATCAGCATCGATAAGGGTTTCCCTTTCTCTTGCAGCCCCACCACTGGGGTTTGCTTTAAGTCACAAGGTTCAGCCCAAAAGTTGTTCCTTTCTTGAATTAACTGTTTGTGTTGAGGTGGAAATCAGAAACAACCCTTGGCATGCAAAGTTCACTTGCCTACCTCTCATAGCAATTTGTTATTGAAAGAGTCACCCAACCATGGTCCACCTACCAGTGACAGTACCCAAATCATTTAAACCACCTCACCTCAGAACCAGTGTGCTTGCCAGCCCACCAGAAAAGGTTTGGGATGCCTGGCTTCGGGCCACAGAGTGCAGAGTTAGACACTAATGTATGGCTCACAGCTTCATTAGTCAGACTGTTATTTCCTATGTATTTATGCCAACCTTTCTTAATAATTAAAGCCGAGCATTAAACTGTTATCATACTCCTGCTGTTACTGCTGGCAAAATCCATTCTGTTCCCATAATACTCCAGACAACTTAGAAGAGTTTTACAAGCTCATATAATCTGATGTATGTGTTTGCCAACAGTCTTGGGTTGATGTTTACCTGTCTTGGGATCAATATGAATACCCAGGGGTGCAGAACTTGCGATTTCCCGCTGACCAGATTTGGGTACCAGACATTCTGCTGTATAACAGGTAAGCAAGATGTGCAATGGCTGGTGGGAGAATAGAACTGGGTGCTGAAAATCAGCTATGCTTCACTGATATTCTGGGCCTTTTGCCATATGTGGGTTTGGTTCTTACGCTTGAAAGAGTCACAAAACCAAACAAGCACCAGCTAAGAGATTTTTCTAATATCTAAGTCTTCCTTGCTGTAGTTCTGCAGATGTCTTCATAACTTCTTCTCAGTGAACGCAGAGTGAAAACTACCCATACTCTCTTCATAATTACCACGTCTCTCCTGGAAAATTACTATCATGTATCTATCATAGTAATCCTGATTGAAGTAAACAAATAGATTTTCTTCTCACTTTACTCGTCATATATTTCATAAATCTCTCCTTCGTTCCTCTTCCACTCTGAACACTCTCTAGTCTGTTTTTCCTCCTCCAGAGCTGAATCTAGCTCTCTAGCCAGTACCTCTTCAGTGTTGAATGGAATGGAAGCTCTCTAGACAGCTGTTTCCTTAATGCTTTCCAGGAGGAGAGGGCTTTGAGTTTGCATCTTAGTTTTGGACTTATTTTTCGATGTACTGCAAACCACAGATGTTGTATCTCAGCCCTGCTGTCTCAATAGAGTTTCACTGATATGTCTTTCTCTGAGAGTTTTCAGGGTAATACTTTCTAATTATCCAGATTAAATTAATTCTGCTAGTTTCCCTAGTTCACCAAGACTCGTCTTCCATTCCAAGCACTCACAGCAAAATATCCAAAGGATGCTTGGAGACACCTGGATTGTTTCAGTGTTCTTCTTTACTTCAACTTTGGTCCTTATTGTCTCTTTATTCCTTGTCAGTATCTAAAAAAGGAAGCATACAGCCTGGTCCATATTATTGTACTTTATAAGAACATGCTGAAGTTCAGATATATCACCTACCTCCTTTTAGTCAGTAAGAAAATTAGATTGATTTGATGCAGTTGGCTCTTCACAAATCTGTGCCAGCTGTTTTCACCTCATTTTCTTTGAAGTTAGAATGATGTGTCTATAATTTCACCTTTAAAAAATGTCAGAATTTTCTTTGATCTTCCTGATTCACTGTGCCGTTCCCTGTTCTCCACAAGTCCTCACAGATAATTGTTAATGCTTCAGAGGGTATTTCGGCCAGTCCTTTCAGTTCTCAAGAGTAAATTTCATCAGCTCTGCTGAGTAGAATCTGTCTTATCTACACTTCTTTAACCTGTTCCTTCCGTATTCTGCCATGAACTCCTGCCACTGTACGAGAATTAATTGTAAAGAGTGAAGCTCAGAGGGTGCAGGTTACTGGAACTCTCTGCATCCTGTGATTTTCTTTCCTTTCACAGCAAGTGATGAATCTATCTCTGTCTTTTCCTTGTTTGCTTGTATTTATAAAGCCCTTTCTTGTCGCCTTTTATGTCTTTGATAATTACCACTCATTCCGCAGCTAGCCTTTTCAGTTTTATCTGTCTTGTTTGGTTCTGGGGGCAATAATGAGGACTGAGGACTCAAGACGTGGATACAGAGCAGATCAGAAGAGGAATGGAGGGTCTGAATTTTCTACACCTGGTTGAGAGATAGGGTATGTAAGGTGGTGTAGTGATGTAATATAGACCTGCACACAGCCACCACAGGCAAGGCTCCATAAGCCCAGGGAATCGTTTGTGGTTAATCTGTTCCCAAGAGACCTTCTGGAAGAAGCCCCCAGACCTTGCTCCTTTGGACAATTCTTGTCATGGTCTGGCTCATTACTCTCTTAATTTTCACAGAATTGCTTGGAACAGTAAGGAAATTCTGTTTTCTTGGTCCCTTTCACCTGGTTTTTGCTCTTAGAGTCTCAATGAATCTCCTCGTACAAGGCCCCTAAAACAGCTTCTCCCCAGTGCCTTCCTCCAATATCAGAAGCAAACCCTCAGCCCTCTGCATCCCAAGAGACTGCAGAATTGCTAAGTCAGGCCACCATTGCTGTTACAACAGATATCTGGGTAGCAGATAACTTGATTTATACGGTGAGCTGCCTCATTCTGACAGCTGGCCTAGAAAAGCCTCACTGTACCAACTGCCCGGTTTTTGGATACAGCTAATATGACACTTTTGATCCTTTCCCTTCTGCCTGTGCTCTGAGACATCCAACGCTCTGCCTTTCACTTCTTTGATGACATAACAGCATACAACCAACCTGCCCAGGTGCAGGCCAACAGTGTCTATGAGAAACTGAGATGCAGGTCAAGGGTAGACTCTTTGCCCAGGTGTAGGAACTAATATTAGACTTTCTGTGGGTTCAACTCAGACAAAATATTATTTCCACGTTGACAGTTGCTACACCGTTCTCAAACATCAGCTTGCTCTTTTTCTGTTTTGTTATGTTTTGTTTATATTGTGTTACAGTGCAGATGAAAGGTTTGATGCGACATTTCACACGAATGTGCTGGTGAATTACTCTGGATCCTGCCAATATATTCCTCCAGGTAGGACACAGAGAACATTTGTTTGCTTTTAATCAAATTAATACAAGCGGTTTTCCTTCATGAATGAAACCAAGATGTTTTAAAGCAGTCTGTGGAAATTTTGCAAGCTGGGTAGTTATGGGACAGACCCACTGAGATAATTTACATCCATTATCAGTAGTGTATTTCCACTTCACAAATCAATAAAACATTCTCCTGAGCAGTTTGCTTAGAACTTCCAGAGGCCCACCTGAGATGTGATCCAAAGCAAGGTGGTGTGCACCATCACATATGCAGTCCAGTTAGGTCTTTGTTGAGCGGGGAGGTGTGTGACCAGAGGAGGCCCTGAGAGCACCACTCACTCTGCATTGAAGTCCTCCTGCCAGGCTGAGGCTACAAGTCCAAGTGAAAAGACAAACTGGGATTGGTCTCAGCCAGCTGGACCCAAGTCTCAGCCTCTTTTCCATCTGTACTGCTGATTCCATGCCTGCAGGGTCCAGCAGCCAGGACCCACCAGCAAACACAAGGGCTGTTTCACAGTTGCTCGCTGTGGTGGACAAAAAAACGCCCAAACTGTGTCATAGCACAGTATAGCCCCCAGGCATGTCCACAGGGCCCAACAGGGACTTCCCTGATGGCTGGTCCACTGTTGTTCCCTACCTCTGAGACCCCTTAAACTGGACTAGACACATCCAGAGTAAAATTCAAGGCTCAGGTTAACACAAGTCTTTAAAGGCCAGCACTGAGCAAGGTTTAGCATCATAATGTGTTTTCACGGTATGGTGGGTCTAGGACAGAGCCTAACCAGGAACTCCTTTCAGAAGTAGTTCCTCACAGGAGCTACAGCCTCTGTGAGTGCACATTTGTGTACTCTGTCCTGTCAGCACTGCCAGTAATCTGCTGAGGCCAGCCAGCACTGGGAGACAGGCTGGGCTGCTCCTGGGCAAACTACCTCAAGGATGCAGTGAGAGGTGGGTCTTCACTGGCAGAAGAAGAGAGGTTATTCCACTCATGTCAGCACCTTCCACCTGCAATACTTGTTTGGTTACCCCATGACTGTATCACATATACTTTCTGGAGAGGAAACTTGCTCACAATCAATCAGACAGATAAGGGTAAGATGAAATGCATCCTGCACATGCTTGATCGTGACTGATTTCTATCCACAGGCATTTTGAAGAGCACCTGTTATATTGATGTCCGCTGGTTCCCCTTTGATGTGCAGAAGTGTGATTTGAAGTTTGGCTCCTGGACTCACAGTGGCTGGTTGATTGACCTGCAGATGCTCGAGGCTGATATGTCCAACTACATCTCAAATGGAGAATGGGATTTAGTGGGTAAATTGGCCAGCCTAAAAATTTTCAATGGCCTAACTTTCGAAGGCAACCCCCGAATATATAGAAATGATCAATCACACTGGGACATGAAATACAGATATTAAAAATTTATATGTAGGAAGAAGCAAAAAGGGAGGAAAAAAAATCAGATCAGAGGCAGCCTTTCAGCCACATTCATTGAACTGTGTCTGAAAACACTGTGTTCTGATGCAAGTGCCTGCCACTGAGTATATAAATGAAAGCTACTAGTCCTGATGCATCTGAGCAGTTTGTCAGTACCAAACTTGGATGTGCCTCCTGTAGGTGCATGGAACACTACTGTCACATTTATTCTAACACATCAGCAAAACTGATTAGCGTAAAAAATACTTTAGCGAAAAATACTTCAGCAAAACTTTTACATAAATGAATCTCTCTTACCCAGAAAACGATCGAAGTGTGTACCAGTGTACAGAAGTGTTCATAATAACTGCAGATTAGTATGTCTCTCTTCTCTTCTGTGCTTTGGAAGACACCTGCATTTTCAAAATAAGAACCAGGCATTCAGTGTGAGTTTCTAGTGGGTTATTTTGAACTCATTTGTGCAGTTATAAGTCAGAAGCAATGCTACGGAAATTGATGGAACTTGACAACTCTAAGGAGAGGCTGCAAAGAAGACATTTTGTCTTCCAGTCTTGATATATAGACAAGGAAATAACTGCCCTGACCAACTGCATGCATTAGTTTTACTGTTCAGGGATTCTGAAAAATTATATTCAGCTTGATGAGAAGCCAGAGGACTCCATAGTGAAGTCCTCATAAAGTGCAACTTAGTGCTTATTTCAGAGCACTCCTGACTACCTAGTGTTCCTTTATAGTGCTTATTTCTGTCTGATAACTTTGCATATCTGATTAAGAGTCTGTGGTTTATCTGCCTTCAACCCTGAACAGGGGAGAACAAAACAGGGACTTATCTAGCTCATACAGTAAAAGCAGTAAGTAGCACCTCAGGCAAGCCACAGCCATATCCTTTGTGAAGACTTTGCTAGGCTCCTGCCAAAATATGCACATCATCACATCTTCTGTCCTGTCCACAGAAATGAAAAAAGTGAGAATTTTTTGGCATGAAAGATACAAGGTGCTGAAGTCTGCCAGCTCCCCTGACATTCTCTGTGCTGCTGCAGTCCCCATCATGCAGCATGTCAGGCAATCTACTGCAGCAGGGTCACCATGGCCAATGCTGCAGCACAACTATATTGGAAAACTATGTCTCTTAACCTTCAGGTATCACAGGCTTTAAACTTAACATAACATCCTTTTTTGAAAATTAACCCATATCCTGTGTGTTTTTCTTGACAAAAAAAGCAAATGTGAATCAAAGAATGACAAAAAAATAAGAAGCAGTGGCACTTGTCACACAGAAAATCTGCTGTGTGTGCTAGTGAGTATGACATCAGCAGTTATGTCAACACTCACAGAATGTAGGAAGGCAGAATGCACATTTTTCATGTTGATGTTGGGATGCTCAACACTGTTTTGCTCCGGCCCAGATGAGCTCTCTTGGCTAAGCTGGATTCAAGTGACTCAGAAGGCATTAAAGTAAAGCCTAGAAAACACAAAAGGTAGACTGGGAACAGCAGATGGAGGTGACACGCATTGGCTCATAAACCATCAGTATCCTGGCCCAGTCCAGGGGGATAACTAGGAGTCTTGCACCTCTCCCCACTGCTCTTATCTCCCTCTCTGTAGGTGTCCCAGGAAAGAGGAATGAGATGTACTATGAATGCTGCAAAGAACCATACCCAGACGTGACGTACACGATCACCATGCGCCGACGTACCCTCTACTATGGCTTGAATCTACTCATTCCTTGTGTTCTCATATCTGGCTTGGCACTGCTCGTATTCCTTTTGCCAGCTGATTCAGGGGAGAAGATTTCTTTAGGTGAGTGCTAAAGTATTCATTTATTTCATAAGCATCCTATAAAACAGAAAATAAATACCTCATGGTGATGTGGTGCTTGATGGATTAAGTTTTCATTAGGAGAGCAATAGAAGTACTTGTTTGGCTGCAGAAAAAGGACAACAGCTTTCTGTATGGTATTCACACTTCCTGTTCTAAACAATCCTAAAATCTTTTGGACTTTAACATGGGAGAAGGCTGAAAAATGAGCTATTGGCAAAGGCAGAAGTGATAGTATTCTGTCATGCTCGTTGTTATGTTCTTTACTACATCTCGATGCATTTCGTAGCTAATTAACTTTGTTTTTCAGACAGGACATACCAAGATACAAAGACTGAAGGGTTTTGAGCAGCAGCAGCTGGGCACTGGATTTTTGCCTTTAAAGTTCAGCTCCCAAAACACCTAGCCACGAATCCCCTTTGAATGCAAAGCAGTGACAGCCAAGAAAGGGATAAATTATATTTACTGTTGTGTTTGTGTTGATAAAAACAGGAAGAGTTCTTCCAAGCGAAGACAGAGGAGAGCTGGAAATACAACAGATGAGACCTTAAGCGTTAATTGTGCGTGATTCTGTTTCAGGGCAGAGCCTTTTAGATCATATGAAGTATCCTTAGAGTTAGTAAGAGAAAGAAGTATCTGAGCAGCCTGTCTTACAAGAGGTAAAACACAGGCTATGGGTGTTACAATTGCTATCTATGAAATACAGGATGGAGACAAAGAAAAGACTAATTTGAGCTGAAGTAGAATGTTGACACAAAAGTTGGATCTAATGTTCATGCGCTGACCTTGTGATTTCTCAGTACCGGGACAGTTAGCTTTAGCAACAGCCTTTCCAGATAGAATAAAGTTCTTCTTTTAAAACAGGCTGTATCTCTTTGGGGGATGTTATATAATATGCAATAGCAAAACCTAGACTCCTGTCTGTGCAAGCCTCTCCCAGCCCTTAACAACCATCTGGCCTTTGTTTGTGCTATGTTTTGGAAAAGCAATGTAATTCAGCAGTTCTGCAAGCTTCGTTTCTCTCAGCAGGAAAGATTTCTCCATTACTTTAAGAGGAGCAAGGGTTTGTGTGTATTAGGAAAAAGCAAAAAGACAGCAGATAGAGTTGCATCCAAAAATTCACTTTGTGGAAGTTCTCATCTGCACTGACAGGCGTGAAGTCGTGGGTTTGGCTTTTCTGTAGATCAGGACAAAGCTATATTTAACAGCAAAGACCTCAGAGGAGCAGCTGCAGAGTTCATGTGCCTCATTCTTCTCCAACATGTTCATTCCCTGCAGGTATCACTGTCCTTCTTTCCTTGACTGTATTCATGCTGCTTGTGGCTGAGATCATGCCTGCAACTTCTGACTCAGTCCCACTAATAGGTAAGTTGATTTTCTCTGCTTTGTGCACAGTGTATGATGCCTCTCAAGAGCAGTTCAAAACCAATTTGAGGACTGACTCTTTCTGTTACTCTGGTTTTGCATTCAGCAATGTCAGGACTGAATGTCAGTCTGGACTTTATCATTTCTCATGTATGAAAAGAACCTACACGAGGGACACAAAAAGGCACTGGAAATATCAGATAAGCTGCTAACTGCAAGGATTGAGAGAACACAGGAACAACTCTGGGGAAATTTCATCTTTCTTCTTCTGCATTGCCCTGCCTCCCCGCTGTTATGCAACTCTTCCCCACCTTCCCCCTTCTCCTCCTCTTCTCTCTATCCGAAGGGCAACTCAGAATACAATAGTCAAAATTCAAATATATTGCTGGAACATTTTTAATATATACTGAAAACTATGGGACAGATCATCATCTTGGGAACATGGGCCAGATAGGCATTATTACATCCTCTGTTTTTATAGGACTATCCCTTTACCTTGATCTCATGGGGCCTCAGTTTCTCAGCTGAGAAGAGAACTTGAGCCACCATTGCAGGGTAGAGAAAATAAACCTGTTCTGTTTTACAAAATAAAGAAGAATGAACACCACAGGAAAACCTGTGAGTACAAATCATAACTCAAGTACACATTTCAGACAGCAGAAATTAACACAATACTCAACAATACATCTGGGTGCTGATGGAAGATGGGCCTCACCATTGTACAATGAAAGCCTCACAGAAGTTATATCATGAATAGTATGAAAGAGCATTTACTCAGCCAAGCTCATTATCTCTCTTCAAGGATTTAAATCTAGACCTAACTTTGGGGAAGGAGGATGAGCGTGCCACAGTTAGGACAATGACACCCATAGGCAAGGGTTTCTGAAAACCTCCAAGTAAATTACACATCTTAGAGAAAATCAGCAGGTCTCTTGACTCTTGAGTCATACAGGAGCTTCCAAAAGACTAACAAAACACCCTTCTGAACATATACCTATGGCACAATGGAGACAGACACAATTCTAAGAGAAACTTTGTGTGTAGTGGGGAGACACAAGGCATCTTGAACCGCTGTTCATGTATTTTTGTTTTGTGTAATACCTAACAAAAACCATTTAGAATTAATAAACGAGTACACTTGCCTATGCCCAGTCCACTAGCTTTAACCAGAACAGTTTCTATTAATACAGTCTGCTATCACAGAATGTAAGATTTAAACCAAAAAAAGCTATGAACGGTTATGTATTATTACAGACTTTGATGCTGTAATAACAGACAAATTTCTGTTTATTATAGCATTGCTAAAGTGGATGTAAATGACATCCACTGCTCTCTCATATATGCAAATATTGTAATTTATTATAGAAGGCAATCATGTTGGTCAGACAAGATTTATCCTTGTTAAATGCTGGATGACTGTTCCCGAACCCCACTCTTATCTTCAAATGCCCAGAAATGTTCCTTAAGGACTTGCTCCCTGATTTACCCAGGGACAGAAGTCATAATGACAGAGCTATAGTTCTCTGGATTGTCCTTTTGGGCTTTTTGGAGATGGATGTAACATCTATCTTTCTCCAGTTGTCAGGGAACTTACCCCATCTCCATTGTCTTGCAGTGATACCGTTAGGACTCTTGGTGACACCTGTGTGATCCTGTGGTTTTGGGCATGTTCAGATCTTACAATAAATCCCTGACTCCCTCATCCACTGCACCCAAACAGCCCTTGTTCAGCCAGAGCTCAAAGCTGGGCTGTGTGGTTTTACATGATCTCAAGTTCTGAAAACCTCATCCTCACTCTAACAGGATGATATAGCGTAATCTCTCCACAGTGATTTTACAGGTATTCCCAAATGGGATATTTTAGCTGCTGAACTGAATATATCAGGTCATGATCACAGTTTTCCAGTGTTATCTCTAGTCCTGTTAAAATCCCCAGAAATTAACGTGAGGAAAAGGAGTACATTTGGACAGATCATTCAATTTTTGGAGAATCAGTATGCCTAGCAGGAGGTTACAGGAATAAACAAATCTTCTAAAGTATGTGGTTGCTGAAGAATGCAGGTAATTTGATCTTGAAGTAGAAAGATTCATTGCTGGTCACCAGAAAAGTCACTGTTGCTTGTCTTCATGACTGTGGGAGCAGAGATACTTTGAAAACACACTTTACAATTAATCTGCATTATATTCTTAGGATCTGAATTTTTAAAAATAAACAAGCATCTACACCTACCTGAACCTGCATGAACCCCTGCAGCCTTTGCTATTTCAAAACCACTAATGCCTAACAGGCTGTACTTCTTATTTTCTCCTCCTTGTGAACTTAGCTTTAACTACTGAACTGTAATAGCACGGGAAATTCTCACAGCTGCTGTTTGGAGTGTCTTTGAGGGAGCAAAGGAGAACTGGTCTAATATGATACTTTAAAAAAGTACCAGCTTCTGCACTTTGGAACATTTTTACAAAGAAATGTGGAAATCACCCCTGAGTTCATCTTAGTCAAGGCCACTCTCCCCTGGCCTCAAATTACACTAACAATAAAGGAAGCACCTCTCAGACTAGTTTAGCCACCCACTTTCTGTGCCAAGAAATGTTCCAGCTGGACAGGCTGACCCCTCGCTCTCACTCAGCTTTTTGGGATTTGCATTTGCATCAGCAGGTAGCTGCTCCTTGCCCAGCAGCGTGTCTGCTCCCGTCCTTCTTCAGCACATCCTCTCTTTTTGGGAAACTAGATATTTTGAAAGATGTTTTCAACAGCACATATCTGTGTGAAGCAGGGCACCACAATATTTCAAAAGTCAAATCCTGCCCTTTTGCAGAGATGCCAAAGAAAGGAGAAGGCTGAACCAGAGAAAGATGCTTCTGTTTCTGTTTAAAACATTAACCATCCCATAGCACAGCAATCAGCTCAACCATTTGAATCAAAAGCATTAAGGTCCTATGAAATCTGCAAACAGAACATTTTAGTCAGAGTCCAACACAGAATTCAGAAGTCAATTTTATGAATAATGCTTCTTTCTCTAAAGCATCCTGGAAGTCCCTCCTGGCACTTAAAAACTCCAGAGTGTAGCTCCTAAAAGACTTTCAGAACATGGCTACATAGCAGCAGCTGTGTCCTAAACTTACCCTTCCTACTATAGCTTAATCATGCCTCACGGGAACGCACTTGTAATTTTACTCACTTCTAATTTTTCTCTTTAAAATTACTTTTACCAAGAGTCTATGTAAGTAGACAGCTGGAGTTCATTACTTGAGGAAAGTATACACGGAAATACAGAGAACTCCAGATGTGATACACACCTTAATTACTGGTCTGAGTGCACTAATCACTGGGTAAAATCATGAAATCTGTGTGACACAGCTCAGGTGTATGACAATCGTTTTTTCTGTTTCTAAAAACCTATGCAATTATGCACAATTTTTTCTTGTACTATACATACCAGTAATTTCATGGGAATTTCATACACCTTCCCATTCCCACTATTGCACCCAGTCCAGTGCATTACGTAAGAAAGGATATCCGTGTCCCGCTGTGTTGATTTCCTGGTTCAATGACCAAACCAAAATTAAACGAATACTGTTATTAACAAATACTGTTATTTTTATTAGAGCTTTTGTGCAAACTCAGGCCCTGCCCCTTGAAACTAAAGGCTTAGGTAATTCATCTGAGAACTACATTCGAGGCATTTAGATCTGAAATGTAAGGACTACTTTATTCCTATGAAGACAGTGTGATCCATGTTGGGTGAACGATTGAACTCAATTATATTAGAGGTATTTTCAAACCTAAATGATTCTATGATTCTATGTAAATAGCTGTGGATAATCAGATCTGGGTTTGGTAATGGTTATGTGACCATCTCTGGAGAAAGGATGAATTCCTTCCTTAGGCAAAAGACATACGCCTGAATTCCTTTAAAGTCTTCATATCCCTGATCTTTTTCATTAAACTTTGTTTTCTGTTGAAAAGCAACCTTGTAGTTACGGCAAGGAAATCATGCATTAAGAAGTTACTAAGGAACAAATTCCCCTAAGTCAATAGAGATTCCTATCTATAACTTTTCCCACTCGTGATTATCCTTTGACGGGAGCCTGCTTAAGACTGCACAGTTGGTGATCATGTGGTCCCACATTCAGTGGCACCAAATAGAGCAGTGAACAGAATCAAATTTATCATGGACTGCTGTAAGAATTTCTTAAAAACTGTCTCAGGATAAGCTGCTAGTTTGGGCTCATAAACTTAAAAAAATTCGTCTCCTAATGTCATGTTTAGTTCCTACCAAAACCAGCCAGTTTTTCAGAAAGACAGAACAATCCACAGCCCATGTTAAAGTCAGACATGGCCAAAACCCATTGCTTTGGAATATTGAGATGAACCGAATTAGGAGCCTAACCAACACATCTTCTTTCTACATGCTTGCAGTAGCACTTCCAGAAGGGGAAAACCTTTGGGGCCACACGGCACAGTAAAGTTTGTAGCTGTACTTCCCCATCCTGCTGTGATCCTGCCTTCTTCCAGCACCAGGTGTTTTGTTTTTAAGAAAACATCAGCCCCCACTAGTAAGCCCCACTTGTTCCATTCTGCAGTGAGATACAGGCTTTGGGGAACCCCCTTCACCCACCCATGTCCATCTTTGCTTTCACCTCTGGTTTACTGTGCTGCAGTCCCACTGCTGTGGGAACGGAGTGACACCATGTAGTTACAGACCCTAAAATGCTTGCTTTGAACATCCCACCCAGGTCTTTACACTTGTATTGGTCCAAAACTCTGCAGACTTGGAGTTCAGGCCCCAGACAGCACAAAGTACAGTCACACACAGAAACAGCCAGGAGCACCTACAGCAGGACTCCTTGAGCTTGAGACCAAGGCTGCAATAGGTTCCGAACTGGCTGCTCTTCATCCATCCTAGCCAGTGCTCTGAAGAGGTATCACTTTCAAAATACTTTGTCAAAGTAGATAGGGCATGCTTATGCTTAAAAGTCAAATCTTGAAATTAAATACT